GGGGGCGCTTTGGAGAGGGTAGAAAGGGGATCCACTAGCAGAGGCGGATTTTTGCGGTGTGGAGTTTGAAAGCGAGGGCGGCCCTTTGCTCGGAGTGAGTCGCGGAGGGCGCAGAAGCAGAGTCTGTGGTGCTTTAGGCTGCGCTGCGTGAGCCCCGAAGCCGGAGCCCGCGTGGCCCCCTCGCGCCCTTCCGGGATGAGTGATTTTCTCGGTTCCCGAGTCATCACAGAGTGCTGAAGCCTGCAGACGATTCTCTTCCCACTCAAAACCCATGCAAATGTCGTGGCAGAAAGACAGACATTTTGCGATTTAACCGAGCTAGGTTGGAGCCTGAAAGCAATGCCTACGGCGCTCTTGCTGAGACTGCGGCAGGAGACTGAATTCACAGGGCGCCCTCCCCATCCCTTCCCGCCTGGCGACCGCCTGGTGGGGGTTGCTATGAATCCGCTGAGAAATTGGTGCTGTCAGCCTGGAGACCCTTCAGAGGAGGGGTTATTTTGCCCTAAGTGGAAATTAAGGCTGGAAGGAAAGGGTATACTCAAGAACTGCCCGTACCGCGTCATTACCGTGGAATTCAGAAAGACCTTTTGATGGAAGATACAATGGGAGCGCGCCAAAGACTTGAGAAACGACAAATATGTTTTTGGGTTTTTTTTTCCTCAAATTTTTATTATTCTGTTTCTGCGATGCATAGCAAATACATTCCTCGTGGGGGAATTTCATCTTGATCCTTCCTGCACCCCCACCTATACCCAGGTCCCCTTTTCATTCCTTGAAAGAACCAAAACCAATTCTTTGATCAATTCATCCTTTGTATTATGGGTTTGGGGGATCGTAATCTCATTACTTTCTGCTCTAATCTTTATAATTTCTTTCCTTCTACTCGTTTCAGATTTGGAGTATTCTTGTTTTTCTAGGCCTTGAGATACATCATGAAGTTCTTTATTTGGCATCACTCCGTTCTTACTCTGCGTGCACTGACAGCTATGACCTTCCCGCTTAGTATCGTTTTCCTGAAATCTGCGTTTCTTAGATCCCGTCTTAAAGCCAGGTGGCCAAAAGGCCTTGACAAGTTAGGGAACCTGCTGAGCTTGAGTTACCTTGTGTGAGACAGGGAGAATCCCCCTGGAAGTTTGAAAGATAAATGAGCTGGAAAGAGGGAGGGTTTCTGTATGGTCTGAACAAGGGAAGGGATCACATATTGCTGCCCACACCCCACTGTGGTCCTCCCATGGACTCTTGTTTGGAGCAAAGGTTTCAGGGTCCTTCTGGGGTTTTCTTGTTTTGTTTTGTTTTGTTTTGTTTTGTTTTGTTTTAAGACAGGGTCTCACTATGTAGTTGAGACTGACCTGGAATTCACTATGTAGCCCAGGCTGGTCTCGAACTCACAGGGGTCCTCCTGCCTCAGCCTCCCGAGTGCTGGGATTACAGGCGTGCGCCACCACGCCCGACTTTGGGGTTTTCATAATTACCTGTCCGAAGGGTCAGGCGCATCTGTTTCTCCATCTCTTGTTACAGTTCCTCTTTCCGCACTGGAAACTGCTCCTCCCAGTGTGACATCAACACAGAAACCGCACCTTTCTCCTTGACTTCTTTAGGGCCTTTACAAAGCGGGGGAGGTGTAAGGAACCTCCAGGGTTATGGACTGTGCGCTTGAGATTTGATTAGACACAGTCTTTGTGCAACTATTTAACTTGAAACATTGGCGGCTTTCTCAGCTCTTGTTTCCTGACACAGGAAATTCTGTACCATCCAAGGATTGACTTTCAAAGGTAAGCATCTCATTTGAATAGTCTTTAGGGGAGCGAGTGAAGCTGCTCCCCACCAATCAGAGGACACATAAATAATAGCCCAGACAAATTTGAGTAGTTGCCCTGGAAACTAAATCTAGATTCATGTTTCTAATGTGGGTTTTGAGACAGGGCCTTGCTATACAGTCCAGGCTGGGTTTAAATTTATGATCCTCCTGCCTCAGCATCTGGAGCGTACCACTATGCTCAGCAATGCAGTTCCAAAGAAATTTGTCCAACCTTTCAAAGCTAATAAATTTCAGCAGCACTAATGATCAGTAGTCATCTCGTATTTTTTCCGTGGCATCCAAAAGTATCTGTGATTGCTTTTTCTCTTTTCATGGGTTTCAAAGGATGACTCAAATAAGAGTTGGGGAAATAAAACTAGATTTCCTTAAGTGTACTGTCTTATACTAAATTGTAAGTCTTTATGCAGTAATGATGATGGCAATGTGAAAGTTGATTTTTATAGAACATTGTGAACCAAACTGAGATAAGCATGCTACAGTTCATTTAGTTCTCAGGACAATCCTGTAATGAAAAGCAAGTGGAAATGGAAACAAAGTCTTTGCAATTAGGGAAGAGTGAACGGGATGACGGGAGGGCAGGGGTAAGGGGAAAAAATAAGAACCGAGACCTATCATGTAAAGGTACAAGATCCCAATGATGAATGTAACTATTGTTTGCTTTAAATGTACCGATAAACTTAATGGGGGGGGGAAGAAAAGTAAGTAGACAGTTTAAGTGCTCAAGATCACACAGTAATTAAATTAGAAATTATCTTAGATTGCCACCAGATAGGGTCTGAAGAGGTCCCCCAAAGAGATGGGGACCTCAACTTGCCCAAATAAGTTCTTGACTCTTGTCTCAGAAGAAAGGATTTCAGAATTTCTCAGTGAGAGGCATAGGCTGGTTTATTAGGCAGAGTTAGAGTAAGAAAATATGGAAAGGACTTCAGTTTGAGGAGCTGAAAGAGGCACAGAGGAAGATCAGACAGACCTGTTATAAAAGAGTAAGACTGGCTCTCATGGATTTGCTGGTGTTGGCTTGGGTCAGGTTGGTTATTGTCACATGTCTAGGTTTCCATGAGATGATTATTTCTGTTTAGGGCTTAATGAGTTTGGGGGAAATTGCTGGAATCTACGGTGATTTAGGGCAATAGCTGGAGACCTGTAGGCACACAACGGTGGTTGAGTAACCCTGTAAATGTCTTACTTCTCAGCCGTGAAAGGGGGTGAGTGCTTAGATAAAAAGGAGTAGCCAACCTTGTCTTGCCAGCTTTTAGACAGATAGCCTCCAAATGTTTAGCATGCTTTTACTGTACACAGAGCTGAGAAGATTATTAAAGGCCCAGATAATTGAAGGTAATAAACAAGACACACAAAATGAAGGTTGAGCTTTGTTCTGCTTCGAGTTACTTATTATCTGTAAGGCCCAGAAAAGTCACTGTGGCTTTTTTTGTTGTTGTTGTTGTTTGTTTTTAAAGAAAAAACAGCTGTTAAGTCCTTGACTGCCTCAGAAGAAAGCACAAATCATGCTCTTAATGAGTTAAGGGTCTCTTAAAGGGTTAAGGGCCCAGGAGTTTGTCCTTTTTTCCTATGGTGGTCTCTGACTGCATCAAGATTGGCATTAAATGTCTATTATAATTCTAATGGTGCCAGGGACCAATCACAGGTCCTTGTACATGCTAATTATGCAGGCTTACGACCACTGGGCTGTGTGTAGCTCTAGCCCTTAGCATAGAATTATGTGTATGTATACGTGTATGGCTTTTATCCCATGCAAGAGGAGCATGAGGGGAGAGACGGGGCCTTGAAGCACATTTGGAGGGAACCCAAGCCTGCCACAGAGTGGCTGTGTGACCATCACATTAGTTTCTTTTTCTGTGTCTCAGAGTTCAGATGCATGAAATAGTGATAATTATCCCATTTTGAACAAATGCTTTATTTCCACTGAAACATGAGGTATGGGACTGGGAAAGCAAAGTACTTCTCAGAGTGTAAAATATTTTAGATTCAAGGGTTTCTGTCATCTCTAACAGGAGGCTGGAAAGTGGCAAATGAAGTTAAGATAAACTCCATGCTCACTGTGATTTACCAATATTTAGGTTAAAAAATTTGTGTTTTTAAGAAAGTGCTTGAAATATCTGTTTAGGTTAGCTTTACATTTATTAAAAGAGAACTGTAAATTAGACCTCTTAGGTTGTTTTTGGCAGGAATGCCGAAGGCACCCATGGTCAGCAGGTGCTTTTGTCCAGTTGATGTTCTGTGATGAAAATTGGAGGGTAGAGCTTTTTTTTTCCTTATACTTTTCTACCTTCTTTTATTCCAGTAAGCTCTAGTGAATCTGAAAACAGCTGAGTTCTGAAAATATACATACAGTACTTCCCTATTCTCTTTCTTTATTTGGAAATTATTTTCAGAAGACAGCTTTTGGGATGACTGCTTCAAATCTGGTAAAGAGATTCGAACTTATATATGCATATTTTAAGAAATTTTTAAAAAAATATGTCTCAGTTGTCACGTCCTTTGAATTATTCTGTGACCTATGTGAACATCTGTTTCTTCTTGCTCTTAGTTTAAATGAGGCTCTGTGGAGATTTAGGCTTGTGGAAGTCCACACGCCATGAATACTGATATTCTGGGATGTTTTTATCTTGAGATTAAAAGGTCTTCCCTTCATCCTTATGCCCTAGGAATTAGGGCTATAGGTTAGCTTAGCTGGGGCCTCCAGGGTCTTGCTCATTTGAAAACAGCTGTATGCTGTAGTACTGAGAAACAATTTGGCATTAACTTCAAGAGACCTCTGATCTGCTGTGAAAATGGAGATTACTATTTTCTTCCCTTTTGGTTTTCCAAACAATGTTACTTGTTTGGTGGGTTTTGCTTACATTTCAGCTGTCTGTTAATCAAGATAGCTATAGTCATCTTCACCTTACCCTCATCCTCTGGTTCCTCTTTGACTGGTGCAATCTAGAAACCAAATAGATTCATTTTTAGTGTAGGCTGGGCTAGATTGGTGATAATCTGAAACACATTGAGGGTCTTGGTCTAATCCAGGGAAAAGGAAACTCTGTGTGTGTGTGTGTGTGTGTGTGTGTGTACAGAAAATTTAGAACAGATGAGGCACAAACTAGAAGCTATATATGTTAGGAACTGATGAAGGGGAAAGTAGCTATGACAACTGCTACCCAGGTGATAAATGACAGCACATATCTGTAGGGATGCACTTTTGTAAAATGTGATGAGAACAGCCTCAGTCCATAGGTAGCATTTAAAAGAAAACCTAGAGAGTTAGGGGTAGAAGGTATAGCGGTGTCCAAGTAGGATAAGGAAGTCACAGAGTTCTCTTAGGGGCACATGGACAGATGTAGTAAGTGTTGAGCATTAAAAAGGAACTTTCACTGATAGGAATTTGCCTATGGAAAAGTACAGAGAATAGTACAGTATAATGAACATTTTCTCTTCCCCCAGCTTCAGTGGCCAATTGTGACTCATTCATATCCTATCCCCCACTGTTAGTATTTTAAAACAGATTTAAGATATTCTAGCAATTAATTCTAAAGCCTTGTGCATATAATTTTTAAAAGATAGACAAACATCACTGCAACATATTGTTTCCTATCTGTACATTAGGACGTAAACCCTCCTCTTTGGTGCCGATAGAAAGACAAAGTGTGGGCCTGAAGCACTGGCCATCCATGTCCAGTTGTTGGTGACCCTGGCACTGACCCATCATCTTCACCAGCCCTTGATAATTTTTTTGTTTTTCTAGATAACTTTATTTTTACACTTTTTCTTGTTACTTCCTCTTTCTTCTCCACATCTATTTTAGATACCCTTACTTAGCATCCCCATTAGTACTTTCTACTTTTAGCTTTCTCAGATGCATGCAATATCTTTGTTTACAGCCTGATGTGCACCTGATACTCCTTGACCCTTGCCGTCCTTAGGAGACCAGTCCTCTACTCTCCCTGGATCTTTCTGAAAGGAAAGAGGGCACTTCTCATTTCATTTTATAAAACTGTCACTGAGATTGAGACAGAATTCACGTGCCATGTGATTCACCCATTTGGTGTACAACTCAGTAATTTTTAGTGTATTCCCACCATTGCCACAGCTTTTAGAGTAGTTGCAATGCCTTGGAAAGAAACCTGGCACTCTTTAGCTTTTTCTCCATCTCTATTCCAAGCAACTGCCAATCTACTTTCTGTTTCTATGGTTTCACCTATTCTGGTCATTTTATGTGCCACATAATTATGTAGTATATTAAAATGGCTATATAATTACATAGTATATTACATAGTATATTATGGAATTTTATATAAATATTAAATGTTTTGGGGCCAACTTCTCAATTAGTATAATATTTTCAGTGCTTATCCATGTTGTAGCATGAATCAGTACTTCGTTTCTAATTGTGGCTGAACAACGTTCCACTTTGTGGATGTAGAAGGTATTGTTTATCTATTTATTTGCTATTGAACATTTAGATTGTTTTTTCATTTTGCCTATGATATGGTGCTATAATAATTCATGTATAAGTTTTTGTGTGAACATATATTCTGATCTCTCTTAGGTGTGTAGATTAACCAGATCAAAGGGCAGTTGTATGTTGACTATTTGAGGAAATGCTAGACATTTTTCAGCCTGGCTCCTCATTTCTTTTGCCCATAGAAAGAAATCTTGTCATTTTTTAAAGTTCAGGAATCCACCTTGAACTCTGGGTAAATTTCTGGATTTATATATATTTTTATAAAGTCCTACTTAGTTATCTAGTTACGTTTATGTATTATTCTGTCTTTGTTTATTTACTATTGTTTTCTGTATGAAAAGTTTTTATATAGAACATTAAATTACCTTTTCAGTGGATCCCAAAATAGAGGTCGTACACCTTTAGAGGAGGAGATGATTTGTTGGAAAGCAAGAACAAAATGCTATTTTCATGTGTGCTTTATAATTTTGTAGTATATTAAAATAGCT